TCTACGATACCAACCCATCTGTGGTTTCCTAATTTGAACTTCGTAAGAGAAAGAATAGTATAAATTTTATTTTTTGATTGGTCGCTGTCCTATTAAAAATATGTTTGTATATTCACGACCATGAATGTCGATAAACGTTCATATTTTTTATATTCGTTGCAGATCTTATTCCAGTAAATAAAGATAAGTTTAAGGATTTAATGGTGCTGAAGCAATTCTGTGGCCCAGTTGCTGTCAAGTTTTTTACCGATCTACCGCATGAATAGGGGACATTCCTCGTTTTTTTCACATTTGTAATACCTTCGAATTAGTTTTATTTTATTATCAGATACACTGACGAAAAATATTTGTATTTACATGTTGAGACATACAATAAACATTTAGAAAGATTTATTTAAATTATTTGTGGTTACTGCAAAACCAAATCGCTAAGTAGTTTGCGTAATTAACTTTAACATTCAAGTTGCTCCGTTGTTAGTCTAAAGGACATACCTTGTTCTTTCCCCATACCCTTCATATGTTTTCTGTGTGATTTATTTGTAAAAAATTTGGTTTATATAATTAATTAATTCGAACAAAACAAAATAATACAATATATACAGTTGTGTTACTAATGTAAACAATAAAAAAGGTAAAAAGACGGAAACATTAATTTTACAGATTTTGTACAAATTTCAAAGTCGATTTTCCAATAATTTTATATTTGTGCCTTGTCATTGTTTCACACTAAGGGCCGGTTGTACCAACTCCCGATAAATTTATCCGATAGATAAATTAGCGCACTTATTATCTCGCGCATTATCTAAGGGATTATTACCACGGTTACGGCTATTTTACGCGGTCTGATTGGCTAGTAGATGGGTTTATCTATAAGATAAATTTAACTAAAAGATGGTAGTAATGGACCTTAGGTCAATGCGAATAAGAGCTCTTAAAACCGCTGTATCTATGGTAATTATCCGTTAGATAGTTTATCGGGAGGTGGTACAACCGGCCCTAAGCCCTTCAATTATAAGAAATTCAATTAATCAATATTTCATAAAAAATATATCTACTAAGAACAATAAAAGAAAAAATCGAAATGACACGTTTTGCACGGATTTGTGGTTCTTAAAAAATTAAAACGTCACAAAGCAGGTGACAAAAGTCGCTCGTAATCTGCAATTAACTTCGACATAATTCATAAAGTTCCCGTTTACTTCTGTATAAAAGAAAAAAAAATCGATTTTTGACATCAAAACGATTTGGCAAATATCTTTCTTACTCTCGTAAAAATAATGCAAAAAATTAGACGCTTATCAAAAGGTATTATTAATACAATTTAAAAAGTCGTAAAGATAAAATTATTTTGTAGATTTTACAAATGATATTAAAAAAGACGACGGGAAACGGTTTATTTTACCAGCTCGATGGTTGCTACATTTTTGTGGTTTTTGGCCAGATACAAATTCGAAGTTATTCATATTTTATAACAATTTTATTTTGGCCAATGTTTTCATCATGGAAATATTTCATGTTTATTATGTTTTAATGAATATAATAGACATTGAAGGGGTAGCAGAATCGGCTGCAACGGTTACAACAACATTAGAAGTCAAAGATTTACATTTATCATTCGAATTAAAACTCATTTTCTATGTTCTAGGCTTTGGTAAGAACTTATTGCATGACCTTTAAAAAAGAAATAATCAACGATATTTTATACAAAACTTGGAAACATTTTTGGCCCTTAAACATTTTACCACCAAAAAAAGTTAAAGAAATGAAAAATTTATTATATTTCGGTTGTTCTTTAACTTACGGTTTTTTCTTGATGTCGTTCGTTTCCACAAGTCAAATAACAAGTCTTTCTTTCATTCGAGGAGACGGCTTAATTTTAAAATCAAAATTTCCTTTTAACTCGGACAAAGACTTCATTTACGAAACGGTTTATATTTGGCAATATTTCTTAACGTGGTTTGTTCAAGTTATCGTGAACGCTTTCGATTTCTTGTTTATCCCGTTAGTTTTAATTTGTGCATGTCAATACTTGGTTTTACAAGAAGTTTTGCGGCATTTATTGGATCCGGAAAAATCGGGAGTACATCGACGGAAAATATTCGGAAAAAATTGGTGGAAATTAAGCAACAACGATGTTTTTTTAGAATGCATCAAACAACATCGCTTATTGATTGGCATTTCTAAGAAATTGGAATCATCTTTTAATTTAATTATATTAATACAATTTTTCAACAGTATATGTGCTATTTGTTTATCGACTTTTGTACTTCAATTCGGTAAAGTTCGAGGAATTAAAATGCCCACGTATTTAACTGCTCATCTTTTACAACTATTTTATTATTGTTTAGTCGGAAATGAGTTAACATATAACGTAAGTTGATATTTTAACATTTAATTTTTGATAATGTTTAGATTTAATCTTTTTTTAGAGCGGTCAGTTGTCTAAAGGAATCTTCGAATGTGATTGGCATTTGGTATATGACCTTGATTTTCGAAGAGCATTAATCCTGATGATGGCGAGGAGCCAAAGAAATGAATTTTTAACCGCTGGAAATCTCACACAATTAAACTTTACGAGTTTCTTAATGGTTTTGTTAGAATTACTAAGAAAATGACAATTAATTGAAGTTTCAATTTTAGGTTTTAAGATTATCTTTCTCTGTTAACACTTTCTTAAAAAACTTTGCAAGCACTGAAAATTAAATATATACATATAGATTTGAATCGAAACTTTAATGAAGATGAGAAGAAGAATATGAAGTTCACATAGTAATTATTTAATATTAGAACGTTTATTTAACGTCCAAACACGTAAAGATTTATAGTTTAAAACGTAGCTAATATAGGTATTATATGAATAATAAATAGATAAGAAATGTAATAATAATAGTAGGTGTACTTCATAAATATCTATTATTGACTAACAAAATTTCAAAATTTCGATATGAACTGACGTCTTCGTAACTCCACATTGACCAGTTTCCCTAAGACCATCCACAAGCCTCTGACATGTTCTCCGATCAGGTGTGACTCTATCTGGAAGTCTTTCCGAGTAAATCTGTTATGCTAAGCGAGCGTTGAATCTTGCCTTGCCGTAAATTATAATCATGTGTTTTACCTTCTAATCTAAGAAATACAAAATTTGATTCTAATAAGTCTTTATGTATAAATGGCTTTCTTGAGTTATGATGAGACGTCATGGTCGGTCTAAGAATTGTTTCTCGTAAACTAATCAGTAAAGGATAAGTATCAATATTATTATATGATTTGAAAAAATTCACCTGGGAGTCGTAATGGTTGACCAAAAACAAGGTCTGCAGGTGAACAACCTAAATCTTATTTTAAACATGATCTGAGAGCAAGTAGAACGATTGGAAGATCAACGGTCTGAGCTTCCTCTAGCAATAAGTGTGGTTTTCAAAGTTCTGTCGAACCTTTCCAAAATACTTACTGCTTTGCGCATGATATGAGGAGTGAATTTGTTTAGAACCAAAGAATTTATTGAATTGTGAATACAGTTCTGATTCAAATTGTAAACGTTGGTCGTGAGTAATAATGTGAGGAACACCAAAACGTGAAAAATAATGAATTAAAAGAGTTTTTGTAATTCGCGACGGTAATGAAAGCTATAACAGTACTCAAACGGGTGCTGTAATGAGACTCCTTACAGCATCCGATGCTGTAATGAGATTTTAGTAACATTTTATGGAACCAGTTCAAGTTGGTGACATTGGGTCATTAATTTTTCTAGTTGTCAATGTGACAATTTTTGTCTATGGATGTTTAAACACGTTTGTAGCATCGAATGCAAGGTCC